ATTTTATATTCATATAAAAACTAAAAGGAAAAGGGCATGCATATGCATAAATCTAAGAAGATAAGGGAGCTTGAATTATTCTTCATGGAGGAGGGCCCCAGATCCCGCACAAGTGTCTCCAAACTTGTTAGATGTTAGAACATAAACATGTTAGAGGCTCAGGAAAGGCTGCACCAAATAGTAAGTGAAGGGGTGCCACTAATGTAATGCTTTGTTGAAATATTGCATTACCTGAAAAAAACATTTTGGAAAAGAAACATTGAAAACTATACTGTGTCCCTGTATGTTAAGCTCAAAATACCACTCACTGAATATGTAACTCATTTTATATAAATTATTTTTAAATTTATTTTCATAAAGGAAGCTGATTGCATGCAATATGGAGACTGTGGCATTAGATAAAGAGAGCATGGGGTGAGAGAAGGAGAGGATGCATTTGGGTGGGTGAGCAATGTGATTTTATTAAGTTGCTGTCCAATGGTCACTTCTGTGATGTATGGTTGCCGTGGTATCGGCAAGGCCACACTATGGCATTAACGGAGGGTCATTTTTCACCCACAAAACAGCAAAGTCAACAGTCTGAGGAACTCAGGCTCTGAGACAGCAAATGAGGAGAAGAGGAGGATTTATAAGAGTGGGATGATTGTGTGTGTGTGTGTGTGTGTGTGTGTGTGTGTGTGTGTGTGTGTGTGTGTGTGTGTGTATACATGTGTAAGACAATCTAAGATTACAAACGAAAAGCTTTTTGACTGAATGACACTTTGCATACAGCACAATACAGAATTACACATTACCCTATGTACACATTTGCATCCTAGAAGTAACAATTAAATATGTAAGAAATAAAACAGAAGGGAGCATGCTATTAAAAGAAAATAATCAACAACAGTGCAAAGCAAAGCACAGTTGCCAATTTTCCCATAACTTTTTTTTTTACTCTTATACCACAGCAATTTGTCAGTGCTATAGTATTGTTCATTTATTAAAGAATATGTTGTACCTTTATCCATTTATAGTAACATTTAGTGCTGTGGATCATCTGCAAAACAAGTTAGTTCCTGTTATCACTTACGTTATAGCTTTCTTCTTTCTTTCCTGTGTAGGAAAATGTAAAATTATAGCTTCAGCTCTTGACTGTTACAAACCTCTGACACTGGAGACTCCTTCCAAAAATGTTAAATATATAGTATGTCTCCTCACAGAAAACTTCATTATATAATATAAACCCTGCAGCTGGCACTACTGTCAGCAAATTAATGCTGTTCTAGAAAATAAATCGACACCTTCTGACCAATCAGAATTGAGAATTTAACAGTGCTGTGGTACAAAAATAATGTATTACAATCTCAATCTGGATAAAATTATAGCAATGTAATGGATGGCAGGTGTCTGAGACTGGCTCAGGCCTCTCAGTATTAGTCAGCACCCTCATTAGTTATACAGAGGGTCTGAGGGAGGGGGGTGTGTGTGTGTGTTGCTATTGTGGTTATGTGATACTGTGAGAGCAGCACTACAGTGTTAACCACAGCACCAAGCTAAAGATCTGCAGGAACCACAATTCAATAAGGTCTGAAAGTGACTGATGGTCAAATAGTTGCATTGTGTCTGTGTGATAGTGTGTGTGTGTGTGTGTGTGTGAGAGAGAGAGACTCACGGTGGTCTGGGATTAGATCCCTCTCTTGTTATGACTCCCTCTTTCTCCAGCAGCATCTGCCGAAACGTCCCGACCTTCTGCCTGATCTCCTCTTCTGAGTATCTGCATGTAGAACACATCCACTGAGTGAAACATGACAAACAAATGTGCATGTATATATTCAGGTTTCATAAAGAAATAGGAAAGAGTCACACCGCCATCACAAGGCCAGTCACCTCTTTCCTCACTTTCTTAATTTCTCCCTTTCTCTCTTTCCCTATCTCACACACACTGTATATACACCCCAATCTCCACACTTGCTATCATGTCCCCATCCTTCTACTACAGAATAATAAATTACATGGTGTGCGTCAGAACCAGTGACAGGAGTCAAATAACATGGCAAAGCACAAGGCCATGACATTAATGTAGCGTGTCAAACGCTGTAACAGAGATGTCATACACACAAAAGAAAGAGGTCACAGGATCAGTGTGTGTCAGTCATAGATCATGACGGAGCTATACTGTATGTCAGGAGCCTTTCAGTTCTACATCAATCAATAAGATCAGCTTAGTAATTAGAGTAACCTAGCAACCATTTATTACTTAAGAATGTCTTGTGATGCTGGAACGGTTCAACTGTGTGTATACGTGTGTGTTAACAGCAATATAAATGATTTGCTCTATAATAACCCAATTGATAAATTGGTAATTTACAGCACCATTATGGAACAAATGATCAAATTAATCTCTTACGCCATCAACACATTCATTGGCATCTCTTAAAGCCAGCTCTCCATTGTCATGATTTCCCCCTCAGCATATGGCACGTATTGTGAAGTGCATTCGTTTCCGTTTTGGTTCTGTCCCTGCCCTTGTCTTAGCATTGGTCTGTTCCCTAGTGTGGGCACCTGTTCTTAGTTTAGCCTTTGATCAGTTTCTGTCTTTATACCCTCCTGTTCCTTTGTCTTGTCACAAAATCTTGTATAATGTACACTTATGTTTCTGAGCCACTTACTCCTTAGTTCAGTGTAAATCCAGTTTCTCTACTCACACCTGCTCTCTATGTTGATTATGGATTGTCTTGTTTTGGAGTTGCCTTTGAGTTGTTTATTGACCTATGCTATGTATTATGATAATGATTTTTGGTGTTAATTTAATTCAACCATTTATTACTGGAATTAAATACCTTGTACATTTTAACCCAATTCCCTTACTAATTCCAACAGCCTTGTCAAAGTCTCAACATCTATATAGATATCTAGCAGGGTGAAGCCTAACATGCTTTCTCTGACCAAGCACAGAGTAACAGCCCTTGGGTACCAGCCAAACTGATCTAAAACTCTGACACGCATGAAGCCAGTGTATATCGAGGCACTGGTGAGGAAGAAGCGTTGTGACTAGAAAGCATCATAAAACAATACACACGCTCTTGCATTTTAACACACATTTACAGTACAAATGATAGATTGGTGGTTAGTTGCAAAACTAATTAGGAACTAAACCTGGCAGGGGGAACAAAGCCCACTGAACCTCTGCTAGATGGCAGATATAAACAAACACAAAACAACATGCCAATATAATACATAACCATATAATCAGACACCACATTTCTCCACAAACAACAAACATTATTATTAAGCAAAGACACAACAATGTTATACAACAACACAGCAAACCTACAATAATTTCAAACTGCTGATCGTGCAACTTCATCGGCAGACTGAACATGCTTGGAGGAGAGTGCTAACTGCATTAGTATATTTACATGATCATCCTGTGATTGGCCACTGCCACATTAATTGTTACAAAGAGAAGGAAACATGTCCATCCAAAGATCAAAGTTAGCTGTGCTCTCTTCTTGAACTCCTAATCACAGATGGTAGTGGAATTGTTGGCATTCAAACTCACACTCACTCGCAGTTGCGCAGCTCAGAGCCAAATAAACCACATATGAAGGGTGAATGAAGGGTATCTTCATTCCTTCCAATATGCTGGAACACATTCTTTGTAGCGTATGCGTTAAAGCTGGGTGTGAATACCCACTGTGCTTTCACTGTGTCTATTTTTACATTCGCTAATCATCCAGAAAGGCCAAACTCATTAAGCTTGCTTTCAAAGTAAGAAGAACAAATGTCTTACAAGACAGGGATTATCACCAACTCGTTAGGAAAACAGGAGGCATGACTGAAGAATGTCCAAGTTATTCTGGGTTCTCTGATCAGGTGACAGGCAGTTGCTGTAATAAAGCCAAGCCCTGGTCTTTATGAAAAAATATTTTCCTTGCCACTTTTTAAAAATAGGTAAAATGTGCTTGTTTTATTAAAGGGCACTCATTGAGTGTGAAGATTTAGTATGATAATTTATATATAGTGGATTGGATTTTCCTAATCCAAGACCAGCTTTTTTATCATTCACAAAGGTTGATCAAAACAACACTCGTACATACTGTATATAGTAGTGTCCAAATCCAAGTATACCACTGATTATTTCCAGGACCTGTGTAAAAAATGTCTATTATTTATTTCAGCTTTAAAATGATAAATATAACACCTACAGATGGTCTCCTGTCTCCACCATACATAATCATCCTGCCAGCAGATAGCAGATTAATCTGGGCCTTTCTCCAATAAAATATGGATCTCCATCCAAAATAAATCCCTTGCGAGCAGGACATCTGTGTAGTTTAATCTCTAACTAAGGAGACGATTGTAAGGACAAAGTCAAAGTCATCCATGTAAACATGCAGCTCACGTGCCTCATGTGCTCATGTGCCTAGAATCAGCTGTCAGCCACGACAGAAGGAGAAAGCAGAGCAGGTCAAGCCATTGTCTGATCTGAGATCAGATCACGACCTTGCCACATGGAAAGCGCATCCTAAGATCTGATGTGTCGGGAACAGAGTGAGAATTTCTAATGCGCTCACTGTAATCTATTGCTTTCAGATGGCTTCTCTTTTAAAATATAAATAAGCAATTTTTTTTCCAAATTTATCTCCTACATGGCAGCAATATATAGAACACCGATATAGTGAACAGAATCAATTATTCACAGACAACATGGTTTGGTCATTTTTTTTGTTATGGAAGACACATATACAGCATTTCAAACAGCTTACCCTAAGTCCACTGTGGATCTGTGTGAAACAACATGTCATTTATGTTGGCAGTGGCAGCTCAGTGGTTAGGATGTTGGCCTACTGATTGAAAGGTCATGAGTTCAATTCCCAGCGCTGTTACTGCTGGGCCTTTGAGCAAGGCTCTGGATGAGGGTATCTTCCAAATGCCATAAACATGCATTTATTCATTTTGCTAATGCTGTTATGCAACCTGACTTACAGTGGAAACAGGGTCAACAGTGGAAGACTTGCAGTGCTGAGATTTGAACTCAACTTTCTGATCATTAATCCAAAGCCTTATCCACTGAGCCAGCACTGGCTTTCAATTCACAATATAGGCTACACTTCCCTTCTCACTTGTCAGGATATATTAGGGGCATTCTTTAACTACAAAGAATAGCTTGTTAATTAACCCTTTGTGTAAGAAAACAAATTTAAACATTCTCATCCATCAAGAATTAGTCCTAAATGACAAAAACATTTAGTTATTTTCTAAAAAATACAATGTATACTATCTCTTTCCATCAAATATACTGCACACATTGCAGCACAGACCAATAGAACTGGTGTCATCATATAAACAACTGGGTTTGGTATTAAACAATGATCTTTCTTTTAATCTTCATATTTAATTAACAAATAATTAAAACTTCTTGATTGTACCTGCTAGAAAAAAAAAATGATTGAAGTGAAAATCAGTATCCCACAGTAGAATTCTAGCTTTTGCTAGTGAGTCTGATACATTTCATCTTTAAACATACATTAAGGGTCCACTTGACTGACATTTAAAATGACCAACGACAGACCTTTTGCACAGACTGCTGGAAAACATGCAATGGTATCTCGTTTTCAAGCAAAGCTCTTGAATAACTTGGAAAGAATGCATTGTGTGATTTTTTTTCCTCAATCTTTTTTATCATGCTCCTTCAAGCTGAATGTGTCATAAAGTTTGATTTCCTTTGTAAAGCTAAGAGACACTCAGGTTGCAACCAAGATCTTGAACCTTGGGCCAGAAAAGTGTCCAAAATTTATGAAACCGATCCCAATTCCAGAGAAAAACTTTAGACTTGGCAACACTGGTTGTTTGGACACAGCATGTGCATTATGGTGCTTCAAGAATGCACTTGATATTCTCCCAAGATACTGTATAGTGCAATACATAGTAAACAGAAAGTGGTTTCAATATGGTGCAATCAGTAATAAAGTTTTGCAACAACTGGTATACAACACTGTATACATCGGTCTCACTCACTATTAATTACAATCTTTTTAAAAGACATGAAAAATAAACAAGTAGCATATGATGTTCATATAATTAATAACATTATAAGTCCTGGCTTCCTCTATGAAGAATCAAATGAACGATGCAATGTCTTTCTTTGTAGTCTACATGAATAGTGAGAGTGGGCATGTATGGAGAATGAGAGAAAGGGAGAGGTACGGGGATTGATATGTAATATGAATCGTTATTTAATTATGTTCTGCGTCTGGGGAAAGAATAGAGCACTTTCCTGCACCGGCAAAAAGAGATCAGTTCATTAAGAGCATGTCATGTCCCTCACACCTTCAGCTACTGCAGCCCGAAAATGATGCTGACAGAGACTGTGTGTGTTTGTGTGTGTGTGTGTGTGTGTGTGTATGTGTGAGACTCAAATCAAAAACCTTCAGCAGAAAAGAGAGGAAGATGTTCTCTCAGTCAAGAAAACCCATACTGATGCACATGCCTATTCACAGCGTGATATTATTAGATCAAATATTGATCTTCTCTTCTGGATAATGCATTTTAAATGTACAGTAGTCTGGTATGATACGTGCTGACATTAAGAGAGAGGGGAATGCAGATTCAATACCTCTGGCTCATAACTAATGCAGTGAATTGCCAAAATTAATGACAGCATTGAGTTAGATACAGCATGTGCTTTCAGTGCCCATATCAGTTTCTCTAGACTGCTGTACTGGTAGTGGCTGGCTACTTTACATTTGTGGGGACACAATAATAATCTCTGCCGTTATTTCACTGGCAAAAATGTACCCTGCTCTCATGAGAATTTGAGTCTGTTTGCACTTTTGCTCTCGGATTCTCAGCACAGCAGCGAAGTCAACTAAAAATCGTTTTAGGTGAATAATAAAAAAACAAGACTAAGCCATTCTATTTTAGTATGTGTGCCCTTGGTTTCCTAATAATGCACCAAAATATTCTCAGAGTCCTCTTGTTAAACACCTTGCTGTTTTCTATAGCTCCTGAACACACCCTGTTTATAGTTCACCGTCTTGGGACTTGTCACGTGTGTTAAAAGTGTGCTTAGAAACCATGGGCAACTTTCCCAAGCTGTCCCTCTGCCAAGACTGTGATCAGTCAGAGGAACGATGTATTGAAATATGAAATTTTTTTGTTTAATTTCTCACAGCTGACCTACACATACTGTATCTACACATTCTTGCCATGATATCCAGTGACATTTAATCTGAGTATATTATTTTATTAAACCTGCCAGCCCTTTTTGTGCAAATGCTCCACAATTTAACACTGGACTAAGCTCATACAAGTTATCACTCAAGAAAATGACTGCTCTTTTGGCATATTTTTGAGTGATAACTCATATGAGCTTAGTCCAATGTTAAATTGTGGAGCTCTTGTGCAAAATACGTATAAGGCTGGCACTTTCAGTGTCATCCCTAATCAATATAGTTGATGTTAATTATATACAGTACATGTCTAATATTACCTGGAAGCTCCATCCTCTTCCCCAAATCTGACATGTTCTCGACTTGGACTTGTGGGGCGCCCCTGCTTTCAGACACTAGATGTTTTGTGTTCATTAATCTGATGTTAAATCTATCAATGTGTATTCAACTTAGCTAACACTGGACATGTATTGTGTATACAGAAACTATATTGACTAGAGATGACATTAATGGTCAAATGGTCAAAATCGCACTTTCTGTTTTTGGTCAAAAGAGAAAAACATCAACATTTTTTGACGTACAAAGGTAGACCTACAATACAGTGTCAAATCTAACACTTGTTAATGGTAATGGAATTTCAAAAATGATTAAATATGCTGTTGAAGACATTTCTGCAAATTATGAACAAGAACAATAATGAACAATAATGACAGGAAAATGTGTTTAACAGAAAAATCATACAGGTCTTCAATAGTAAAACCGTATTAAATCTCTGAGCTGGATAAATAAGTACTGGCTGGCTGTTCAACTGAAAATGGAAGAAATTGCACTCATTGCACTGTGCTATCCATCTTGTGTTTTATTAGCCTTTGAGCTGATTGGTTTGGTGATTAAAAAAAAAAATTGAGATCACTAAGCCCTGAAAATCTGAACTTTTCTCACATTCTGAAAACTCTGAGATAAAAGAAATGAAGCCTTACAACTGCTTCCCATTAAAGTACATAAAATATGCACTGGTGGTTTTGAACACATCCTCAGTAAACTTCGGAGATCAGAGATATTCAGTAAAGTCTTCAGCAATGCTTACAGCAATGCAGAAGATCAAGCACCTTCTCCTGTCCCGATCCATTTCTCATAATTGTACAAAATAGGAGAAACCGATTTCCCAAACTGGCATTCCTGCAGGGCAGGTTTTGCTCAAACAGTAGTCATAAACATGGCATGGCCCAAATGGCCCCGTTCTGACAACCGGCAGACTCACGATGTCAAACAGCGGCGTTTTCAATTTAGTTTAGCATGCCTCTACTGGAAAATGAAATCAGAGTAGCGTGTCCTGACTGTGGTGTGAAGCTGCCAAGGCCTCTTGTCACACTGTTTGCCCTCAGCATAATGCAATTTCAAAGCCTCAGTGTGCTGTCCAGTGCTTGAAGTGGGCTGGTACTCATCGCTATCAAGTACCAGCACCTGCATGAAAATAAAAGAATAAATACCCTGTTTGTACACCCTTTGTACACCTTTACTTCTTTTTTTTTTTTTTTAAACTGACATTAAATTATATATTTCAATATATTCAAATATCAACGCGTGTACACATTTTTTAATTTATTTTGCCTCTTAAAGAACAACACTTGATATCAGTGTGGTTCTCTATGCATTAACATTATTGTCACGACTGCTTTTAAATAATAATGTTGAGCTCATGTTTGACAAATATGCACTCGTGTCCACTTTAACACTTGTACACCTGGTCTACTGCTGTTGTAGCCCTTCCTCCTGAAGGTTTGATGTGTTCTGATATGCTTTTCTGCTCACCACGATTGCAAAGAGTTGTTATTTGAATTATCAAAAGCCTTTCTCCTCTGATTTTTCTCTCTCTAACTAGTGCTCACTGGTTGTTGTTGTTGTTTTTTTACATTTTCACACCATTCTGTGTAAACTGTATAGATTGTTGTGTGTAAAAATCACAGGAGACTTTTGTTGAAGAACAATAGCACCACTAGCATAAATAAAAATAAACAGAATGGCAAGAAGTGGTGGCTGATTTCTTTCTAGCCCAGACTGTAGATCTAGGCTGTTTATCTTTGACAGTCATCAAATGTCAGCGTGATTACACTTGGTGAAGCACTAATTGTGGCTAATGTATTTAAATCTCCATAACACATAACATAACACACAAGCAGTGCTTGATAAGTGCACATGAATTAAAATAAGTGTAATGAATGCCAACAAGGTGGATTACTTTCTTGATGACTGATTTTCCAAAATGCCTTTGGTGGAGAAAATTGAAGTAAATAGACTAAACAAATATTGTCCAAGCAACAGAACTGTTCATTTTGTGTGGTTTGAACAATAGAGCTGGTTAAAGGCACGCCCAACTTTTCTGTTTAACATGATTGCTATTTTTCTGGCCTTCCCATTCCCAGCCATCACTTAAACTCAGATTTTTGGATCCTACTGTAATCCAGAGTGGTGTATAACTAGCTGTTAGTGGTGTATAAATAACTGTTATATAGTAAGTGTGAGAGTGCAATAGCTGAACACACACATTTCACACAACATGATTTCACCCTGGATCATAGTAACCAAGGGCAACCATCATGCATTCAGTGCTGCTGGTCACGAGGGATCCGTTACAACAATACCAGGATTTATCAGCCGCCGTGCAGAGGACCTTTACCACTGCCAGCCAGCTGGTGTGTGTGTGTGTGTGTGTGTGTGTGTGTTAGTGTTGGTTTATCTCTTCTTGCTCAATAAGCCACAGAAAGCAATTCCGAGTGGATCTGATGCGGTTAAAAGGGGAGGAAGTGAGTCTGCTCTATCTTATCCATACCTGCTCACAAACAAGCTCTAAAATCCACCTTTTATTAAAAAGCCTGCACTTTATATTCAATGGATACACACACACTCAGGCAA